TTTGTAAAATCAGTGGCGTTTTTTATGCCTTATTTTTTCTTTTTATTGTGAATTGAATGAAAGTTTACAGAGCACATCCATTTTCCATTCAACTGTTCATATCCATTTTGTTTCATGTTATTGATTACAACCCCCACAATGCAATACCACTTATTTCCCTTTTACCCTGTGTTTTCCGTCTTTATTCCTCCTTCTGTTTTACCTCTTCCTGCCTTCTAATTTTGCCCTTGGGCAAATGCTGCCCTTTTGATTTTAAATACACACGGTCCTGAAATAACAGTAATAATAATAATCTAAAGTGTCATAGATAGACATGCAAGCTGAACAGGTCTGGGAAGAAGAATGGGACTATACCCATGAATATATGTAGGTTTGACAGAGGATATAAATACATATGTATTTGCCTTTCCTGCAGATCCATAAATATAATAGAGCATACAGAGGGAAATGTTATGAAAACTTCTTAACTATAAACAGCACCTTGGAAGAATGAGCACTTGGGGATGAGGTCTCCGGATCATAGTCTTGGGAGACAGAAAGTTCAACTAGGACAATATAGTTCACAATGAAAATTACTTTGGCATTTCAAACTCAAACACCACCATTGAGTCAACTAAACGCATAGTGACCCTATAAGACAGAGTATGACTGTCCTCTGTGGATTTCCAAGACTGTAATTCTTGGTGGGAGTAGAAAGCTTCATAATTCTGACAAGGAGCAGCTGGTGGTTTTGAACTGCTGACCTTGCAGTTAGCAGCCCAATGTATAACCACAACACCACTAGGGTTCCACTTTGGTGATAAAGTGTGTTTTAAAAGCTCATGAGCAGCCATATAAGTTAGAATAATTTGCACCATGTCTGGAGCAAAGAGGGAAGAAAATGAAAGAAACATGGAAACCATTAGTTCAAATGACCAGCGAACCATGTGACCCTCAACCTCCACAGCCTTGAGATCAGAAGGCCTAAGATGGTGCCCAGTTACAACTAGTAACTTCCCTGAAGAAATCACATTAGGATATCCTGGATAAAGTAGGGTGGAACAAAACTAACCATCTTAAAAATGTCCGGGCTTATTGATCAGATAAGGACTGATCAAAACCCAGACACTATGGCCCTTGGACCACCTTGAAGCTTGGGTTTGAACTTACCTGCTTGGCACTGGTATTTTTAAAAACCAAAATTATAACACAATTTTAAAATATATTGTTCTGGAAGTAGAGATGAGAAAATTGATAACTGAGCAGAAACAATGGCATGCCAAACCATTTCTTTGTCAGTTTATTATAATAAAGCTTCATGAATCTTTAAATACATCATAAAAGGCTAGATCACTTACTCATCATTTTCTTAGAGGAGTAGAGGAAAGTAATTATTTGAGTAACATGAAAATTTTCTCCTGAAGGAGAAATATGACTAAAGGGTGGCATGGAACTATTAGCTAACTGAATTCCTAAGATTTGTAACTGCTAAAAGTTAGTAGACCAATACTAAACACTGTGTGATGGGGGCTTACAATATAGTCTGTGTGATAGTTACACAATTTCATGTCAACTTGATAAAAGAAT